ATGAGTTTGCGATATACGTACCCTGTGCTGCCCATTCACTAAATCTGGTAGGCAGAAGTGCCGTTGACTCTTGTTTAGAGGCAGTAAACTTCTTCCATACAGTGGGCCTACTATACTTTTTTCTCAGCTTCAACCAACAGATGGAAGATTCTGAAAGGATGCCTTGTGCATGAAACGGTGGTAAAGTCTCTTTCCGATACCAGATGGGAAGCACATGCTGTTGCAACTGAAGCTATTCTAAAGTCTCATCCTCAGATTATAGAAGCGTTAGAATGTTTACAAGAAGACCAGTCACAGAAGGGGGACACCAGAAGAGAAGCAGAAAACATTGCAAAGAAGATGCAAGAATTAGAATTTGGTTTCATGTTTGTCTTTTGGGAAGAAGTGTTACAACATTTTCACAGGGTTAGTCAAGCTCTACACAATGAGCACGTGAACTTGAAAACATGTGCTGATTTGTATTCTTCACTAGCAGATCACTTGCATGAATCTAGGAATGAATTTGAAAGATTTGAAGAAGCTGCAAAAGAAATAACACCAGGTGTGGATTATAAGTCAACTTTGACCCGTAATCGTAAACGAAAGACAGTGGTCAATGATGGTGATGCCCCTGAGGTATCTCTGAATGCCAGAGACAAATTTCGTATATCTGCTTTCTACGCCATTGTTGACAATGAGTAGACGAGGACAGGTATATAATGATATAGCAGTTCGATTTTCTTGTTTGGTATGTATCACAAACACAAACATCTCAGTGTTGTGAAAGACTAATAAATGCTTATCCTAAAGATCTGAACAATAACTTATATACTGAACTACAACAGTTCCACTCATATATTCGCCACAAGTTTCGTGCATCAAAATCTGAAAACAACACGTTCAGTCATGCAGAATTATACAAACTAATAGTTACAGATAACATCGAGTGTGCCTTTCCAAATGTAGAAATCGCCTTGCGCATATTTTTAACATTAATGGTAACGAACTGTTCAACTGAGCGTTCTTTTTCTCAGTTGAAACGTATAAAAAATCCAAATAAATCGACAATGAAACAAGAAAGGCTTGATTCCTTATTTCTGCTGATGATTGAGGCAGACTTGTTGCGCAAAATTAACTTTGATGATGTACTCAAAAACGTAAATCTAGAAAAAAGAACTTCAAAATGTAAATGTGTCCTTTCTTCGACTTTCTTATGATCTTAAACATCTTCTTATCTATTAAAAAAGTTTCAGTATTTTTGTCTATTATTATTACAAAATTAATTAACTAATAACTTTAATACTGAAATACCTTATTGTGGTTTATGAGTGATAGTAATGTAATACAAATTATATAATTAATTATTACACAAACATTTGTATTAACAACTGTTTTTCTTTGTTAGTATTTTGCATAATAATAATAATATTGAACATAGGACTACCAGCGGTCAGTGAAGGAGGAGGATCGGGCCGGGCTCGGGCAGAGGGGGCATCCGTGTGGGTTTGTGGAACTTTGTGCCTAGGGTACCAAGAGTTCTTAATCCGGCCCTGGGTGTAATGAAATAAAAAAATAATACAAATTTACAGTTTTTTGGGTTGTTTTTTTTTGCATATATATTTAGAGAATATTCTGGAATCGATATTCTCGTCATGAATATTTATAGAGGTCAGGCCAGTTTATCTTTTTTTTTTAATTAGAAGAAGTGTTTCATAGGTATTCTTTTTTATACTATAAACATTTTCTTTCTGGAGATAGTCCTAGAGAGAAAGCAGGCTCCCCCTCCATCAAGGAAGGGGTCTGTAAGCTCCCTCAGCCGGAGCGGAGCACCGATGCCAAGCATTCCGCGTTCTAAGCTTCAGAAATTCATCTTCCTGGCGTCTACAGCGCACTTTCTGAATAGTTTTTAATCATAGGATGAAGAGTTCGTGTAAAATAAAGGTTGTATTAGAAAGGAGTGAGCCGGGTTAATGCCCTTGTAAAATTAAGTCTAATAAAGTAGAAGACAACACTAGCCAATTCTATTATGCTAGGGACATTCGAAAGAAATAAAGCGCATGTGCGTCTGTAGTGGTCGCGATCGCCTTAAGATTATCTTCGCGTTAAATAAGAAATCTATTCGCGGATTTTTTTTCTAGATACGCAAAAGCAGTCAACATAACGATGTATAATTGGGAGAATTCAACCGTTCTAACAGGAAGGTCGAAAAGAATCGCGTTTTTAAATGTCTTCATAAAAAATGTCTGTCTGTGGGAAACATTTTATAAATTCTAATCAGAGGATTAAACAATTGGTTTATAGTCAAATATGACGGACACATTCATTTTTTTAAAAGCTTGAAGGAAGACTGTGCTTATTGATGTTTGTACTTCCTAACTTCTGATAAGAGAAAAGAACTGAAAACTTGCTTTTAAGCTGTGTTGTTTACCAAACAGATGAGCCATGGGTGAACCTTTGAGGGGGGGGGGGCTATGAGTTTGTAATCTTGTTTTATAGGTCATGCTTCTCACAGTTCTAATAGGAATGACATTCTCTGGTTGTCTGTGCCGTGCGCGCATGAAGTTTTCTTTTCGTGTTTACTAGCTGTGTTTGTAGGTACAGGAAGTAGTTTGTATTGAGCGTGTTGTCAAGAATTTTGTGTGTCGTTAGTTCCCGTAGTGTTCTTGCCGCGGAGACAGCTTTCTAGCTGTAGAGTCTGTTTGCACAACAGTTTCACTGTTTCCCCGTTTCAAAGGTACATAAATATATTCATCAGGTTGATATTTCGGTACGGATGTTGCTAATAAAATTTTTTTTTGATTTAGCGGCATCGCTAGATTTAAGTTATTCTTTTGTTTCACGGTGTTAGGCTAGGGGCTAGGATGGAGAGTGTAGTTTTGAGCTCGCCCCTCGAGCGGCGACTGATTTTTGATCCGTATCCTAGTTTTTGAAGCTACCGAGCCGTATGGCCGAAATGGAGTGTGCATGCGTGAGGTGTGTTGTGTAATTAGCAATGTATTATTTAAGTACCCATGATTTGTATATTAACGGAATATTGTTTATTTGTATTCAGCTCCAGTATTAAATAATATTTTTGTTGAACAATCGTTGACCATCATTTCACTGCTCTGTTTGCATCCCCATTTATTCACTGTTCTGTATATGTCTTATAGACTGTTCCATTGTTCTGCAACTTGGTTTGCTGCTGCTCTTTGATTACTGCCTTAGCCTGTTGAGGTGGGCAACTGCTGCTCTTTGATTACTGCCTTAGCCTGTTGAGGTGGGCAACTGTTGCTCTTTGATTACTGCCTTAGCCTGTTGAGGTGGGCAACTGCTGCTCTTTGATTACTGCCTTAGCCTGTTGAGGTGGGCAACTGCTGCTCTTTGATTACTGCCTTAGCCTGTTGAGGTGGGCAACTGCTGCTCTTTGATTACTGCCTTAGCCTGTTGAGGTGGGCAACTGTTGCTCTTTGATTACTGCCTTAGCCTGTTGAGGTGGGCAACTGCTGCTCTTTGATTACTGCCTTAGCCTGTTGAGGTGGGCAACTGCTGCTCTTTGATTACTGCCTTAGCCTGTTGAGGTGGCAACTGCTGCTCTTTGATTACTGCCTTAGCCTGTTGAGGTGGGCAACTGTTGCTCTTTGATTACTGCCTTAGCCTGTTGAGGTGGGCAACTGCTGCTCTTTGATTACTGCCTTAGCCTGTTGAGGTGGGCAACTGCTGCTCTTTGATTACTGCCTTAGCCTGTTGAGGTGGCAACTGCTGCTCTTTGATTACTGCCTTAGCCTGTTGAGGTGGGCAACTGCTGCTCTTTGATTACTGCCTTAGCCTGTTGAGGTGGGCAACTGCTGCTCTTTGATTACTGCCTTAGCCTGTTGAGGTGGACAACTGCTGCTCTTTGATTACTGCCTTAGCCTGTTGAGGTGGGCAACTGCTGCTCTTTGATTACTGCCTTAGCCTGTTGAGGTGGGCAACTGCTGCTCTTTGATTACTGCCTTAGCCTGTTGAGGTGGACAACTGCTGCTCTTTGATTACTGCCTTAGCCTGTTGAGGTGGGCAACTGCTGCTCTTTGATTACTGCCTTAGCCTGTTGAGATGGACAACTGCTGCTCTTTGATTACTGCCTTAGCCTGTTGAGGTGGGCAACTGCTGCTCTTTGATTACTGCCTTAGCCTCTTGAGGTGGGCAACTGTTGCTCTTTGATTACTGCCTTAGCCTGTTGAGGTGGGCAACTGCTGCTCTTTGATTACTGCCTTAGCCTGTTGAGGTGGGCAACTGCTGCTCTTTGATTACTGCCTTAGCCTGTTGAGGTGGCAACTGCTGCTCTTTGATTACTGCCTTAGCCTGTTGAGGTGGGCAACTGCTGCTCTTTGATTACTGCCTTAGCCTGTTGAGGTGGGCAACTGCTGCTCTTTGATTACTGCCTTAGCCTGTTGAGGTGGACAACTGCTGCTCTTTGATTACTGCCTTAGCCTGTTGAGGTGGGCAACTGCTGCTCTTTGATTACTGCCTTAGCCTGTTGAGGTGGCAACTGTTGCTCTTTGATTACTGCCTTAGCCTGTTGAGATGGACAACTGCTGCTCTTTGATTACTGCCTTAGCCTGTTGAGGTGGGCAACTGTTGCTCTTTGATTACTGCCTTAGCCTGTTGAGGTGGGCAACTGCTGCTCTTTGATTACTGCCTTAGCCTGTTGAGGTGGGGAGCCCGGTTAATTATGCCATCCCCTAGATAAACCCGTAAGACCGACCTTGACAGCCTGTAGCACGAAATAACTGCGTAGTTCATTAGTCTGTTCACCTGGACAAGGTGAAGGACGTGTCTCTATGAGTTTAAAATTGACTTGCGTAAATCAAGCGTGTACTTAATCTGAGATATCTGAGGGACGCAATAGTGTCACTATACATGTAGGCTATATGTTATGGTTAGAATGTATACTTGAATGTATAAAGCGTAAGTGTTCTTATAATGAATCATTTCTCTTTAGGTTCACTCAAAACTCCTCGAGTGGAACAGAGACAATACAAAACAACGTACACAAGTGCTAGACATTTTGTTTTTATTGCAGTATTTTGTTATCTGACTGAAGTAAAGCATGGCACACACACAGGCTTCGCAGTTGAAGACCAAACTAGTGCAAACTGATTCATCGTGGTTTTGTATCTACACACAATAATCAGAACAACAAGAAAAGAATCATGAAATAGATAAGTCCAATCCATCATTCAATACAGTTATGTTACACTCAATTCTTGTATGCAGCCTACATAAGCATTGGCTTGTTTTAGGTTCCTACAGGCTTTGAAAAAACCTGTGAAGTTTAATATTTTTTCTTATAGTTAAACCATTCTATTACCAACTAGATCTACATTTATTTCATTTATAGTGTATTCACAATTTCAAAGTCCCTTGTTCTGAACAAAACCACAGTTTACTGGAATACCAAGATCTGCTAAAGTAGTTCCTAGATTTAAGCATTATTTTAGTATCAATGTATTCCTAGATGCAACGCAATTAGTTTAAAGATACACATTAGAAGAACAATCTAGCTGTAAGTGACATTTACTGTTTAAAACGGATATTTCTTTATAAAAGTTTGTTTACGCTAATTAGCTTCGTTATAGATATTTAAATAATTGAAGAATATTTACGTCCCAAGTAAATGCCATAGAGAACAGCCACATACGAAAAGATATTAAATAACCTGATTTCAAATGTTGACATTGATTCAAAAAACATTTAGAAATATAATGAACAGATTTCAAATGTTGACATTTATCCAACAGACATTTAGAAATATAATGAACAGATGTAACAACATTGAACCTAATGAACTTTATAAAAAACCAGAACATATTGAGAGAATGTAATGTAGGGTAAAAACAAAAGAAAAAATAGAAATAAGTTGATGTCTACAGTTTTACTTTATCTCTTTCACTGATATTGTTTATAAAGGATCTACTCTTCGCTAGGAGGTTATAAAGGATCTACTCTTCGCTAGGAGGGTATAAAGGATCTACTCTTCGCTAGGAGGTTATAAAGGATCTACTCTTCACTAGGAGTTTATAAAGGATCTACTCTTCACTAGGAGGATATAAAGGATCTACTCTTCACTAGGAGGTTATAAAGGATCTACTCTTCACTAGGAGGTTATAAAGGATGTACTCTTCACTAGGAGATTATAAATGATCTACTCTTCACTAGAAGGTTATAAAGGATCTACTCTTCACTAGGAGATTATAAATTATATACTCTTCACTAGGAGGTTATAAAGGATCTACTCTTCACTAGAAGGTTATAAAGGATCTACTCTTCACTAGGAGGTTATAAAGGATCTACTCTTCACTAGGAGGTTATAAAGGATCTACTCTTCACTAGGAGGTTATAAATGATCTACTCTTCACTAGGAGGTTATAAAGGATCTACTCTTCACTAGGAGGTTATAAAGGATCTACTCTTCACTAGGGGCTATAAAGGATCTACTCTTCACTAGGAGGTTATAAAGGATCTACTCTTCACTAGGAGGTTATAAATGATCTACTCTTCACTAGAAGGTTATAAATGATCTACTCTTCACTAGGAGGTTATAAAGGATCTACTCTTCACTAGGAGGTTATAAAGGATCTACTCTTCACTAGGAGGTTATAAATGATCTACTCTTCACTAGGAGGTTATAAATGATCTACTCTTCACTAGGAGGTTATAAATGATCTACTCTTCACTAGGAGGTTATAAAGGATCTACTCTTCACTAGGAGGTTATAAAGGATCTACTCTTCACTAGGAGGTTATAAAGGATCTACTCTTCACTAGGGGCTATAAAGGATCTACTCTTCACTAGGAGGTTATAAAGGATCTACTCTTCACTAGGAGGTTATAAATGATCTACTCTTCACTAGAAGGTTATAAATGATCTACTCTTCACTAGGAGGTTATAAAGGATCTACTCTTCACTAGGAGGTTATAAAGGATCTACTCTTCACTAGGAGGTTATAAATGATCTACTCTTCACTAGGAGGTTATAAATGATCTACTCTTCACTAGGAGGTTATAAATGATCTACTCTTCACTAGGAGGTTATAAATGATCTACTCTTCACTAGGAGGTTATAAAGCTAAAAAAAAGAGTTCTAGCTTATACTGTAAAGTCAACGTTAGCAAGATCGCAGCTAAACTAAATGTAACCTATGGAAATAAATGTGACCTATGGCACTAAATGTGACCTATGGAACTAAATGTGACCTATGGAACTGTATGTACTATAGAGTATAGAGTAAACCTTAGAACATCTGTCTACATCAACTTACTTCAGAACAACTGACGAGGTACAAGAAGAGAACACAACGTTTCTATCAAAGTTCAAGGATTTCTTCATGACAAGATGACACACTGCATTGTAAATACAAAATGTTGTTAAAAATATACAATTCTGTCCAAGATTGTTAACATACAAACATAAATGAATGTTATAAATAGATAAGGCAGACTTCAGGCAGTCTTGGGGCTAATGAATATCCAAAACTCAAATGTCCAGAAAATAAACATTTCAATGCGAGACTGTGACTATAATTACAGACATTTAAATAATGATACAACGATTACGATTGTACTCATAGTGTGGTAATGTTTGAATGTCTGAAGTCAATAATCATATCCATATTTGTTCATGGTTTTAGAAGAGTTTCAAAACTGTGAATGAAATGTGTATTTACAAAGACGTGCTGTCAAAATATAAAAAGAGAAATACAAGGGAGACTATTCACAATGATCAGTACATACATTTGGTTCGTGTTGTCATACAATGAACAAAGATTGTAGAACAAACAATTTATCCAGAGTTGGATATACATTACATAACAAAAATCAAATTATGCTGGACTACAAATTGTCATAAGTTCACAATATGAAAACAAAAATTAATTGATATTGATAATTAGAAGTCTGCCTGACTCAACAAAGGGCACAAGTCAGAGTTGTGGGACAGACGCGAGGCACTACTCTGTGAGATGGAGTGAGTTCAGGTTTGCAGAGGCGGTTCCATTTATGGAATAAGTGGGGCGGCAAACACGGATGTAGGATATACACAAGTGAAACACAAATAAATATAAACTTAGCCGCCATGCGTATGAGAGGATGTATGCTGACAGAAGTCAAAAGAAAACATAATCTGTCATATAAAGAGAGGATGTATGCTGACAGAAGTCAAAAGAAAACATAATCTGTCATATGTGTAAAAAGAATATATATATTATATGTGTAAGTAGAAAATACATGCTGTTACATGTGTAAATAAAAGATGTATGCTTTTATATGTGTAGGCTAAATAAAAATATAAGCTGTCATATGTGTAAGTAAAAGATGTATCTTCTTACATGTATAAGTAAAACATGTATCTTGTTATATGTGTAAGTAAAAGATATAGCCTATGTTATCACGTGTAAGTAAACGTTGTATGCTGTTATATGTGTAAGTAGAAAAGATATGCTATCACATGTGTAAGTAAAAGATGTATGCTGTCACATTTATAATTAAAAGATGTATGCTGTCACATTTATAAGTAAAAGATGTATGCTGTCATATGTGTGAGTACTAAAAGATGTATGGTGTGACATATGTAAGTACTAGCTACAGTTCCCCTCTGAAGAATGTTAAGGCAGTGTTCGTGACAACATTCCATCAAGTTTCAAACAAAATCTTAAGCTGTATAAAAACATTCTATGGTGTACAAACTTCTTTCAAACATTGTCACAATGAAATAGTCGAGGCATCGGGTCTATCCTATTGATAATGTGCATGCTTCCTTGAAGAAGTTTTAAACCTGTGCCATGAATTAGACAAAGTTTTAAGTTTTTCAAAACGTGACATGCTGACACACAACTAGAATCAAGAAACATGTGTCCATAGACTCAGCAAGAAACATGTGTGTCCATAGACTCAGTAAGAAACGTGTGTGTCCATAGACTCAGTAAGAAACATGTGTGTCCATAGACTCAATAAGAAACGTGTGTCCATAGGCTCAGTAAGAAACGTGTGTCCATAGACTCAGTAAGAAATGTGTGTCCATAGACTCAGTAAGAAACATGTGTGTCCATAGACTCAGTAAGAAACATGTGTGTCCATAGACTCAGTAAGAAACATGTGTGTCCATAGACTTAGTAAGAAACAGGAGCAGAAGAAGACAAACAAAGCAGACCCTGAGATAGAACGTGCATCCATTCAAGTCAGATGGAAATATCACGTGACTAAGTTTCTCTAATCCCCACACTGCTCAACTATTGAAGAGCGCTCAAAGCAGCTAAAAATAGATTTCATCTACTCAGCCTGTTCGCCACTACCAATCAATAGCACAGAAATAAGGCCATGACCTAAAAAAACACTAGATAGAACTATCTTCGGACAGTTAAAAACCTCAAATTATTTACACAAAGCCTTAAGTCACTTGGTTACACAAACATTTATCAAAGATCCATCCACAAGCCTTTCGTTCAGTTGGGCTATGATATTTCTCCGCATATTTCCCTTATCCTGTCTCTCTCTCTGCCTTATATTTAACTACATACTGTATTTTCTTAGTTCAACTACAACTATAACCACTGTTCTTATAGTAACTATTCGATCTGTTATGCTACTTATAAGAACAATGAATTGTATTAAACTCTTCTGATTGAAGAGCTCGTACAAAAAAAAACAAGAGCATTCACTCAGAGTTCAAGACACGAAAGTGGAACTTAATTGAAAACACACAGTTCTGGTCTGAAGTACTAAGGTGGAAAAAAAAAAGTAATCCGGAACTTAAAAGGGAAAAGTAGAAAATAATCCCCAATCTAAGCCACCATCAGACCGGTGTTCAGTGATTTGTGATACAAGGAGGAAAAAACTCATCAATTTGTAAGCTGAAGGGAAACTCAAATCAGGAAATAGTTTTTACAGCATGGCCAGGAAATTGATTCAAACGTACGCCTGTGGTCAGGAAATTGATTAAACTATATGGTCAACACATAAATTGATTTACTACGTCAACGAGGTGATTGAGCTGTATGGTCAACTAATTGATTGAATTGCATGGTCAACAAAATAAATTGTGAACAAGATGACTGAGCAGAACGATTCAAAATGAAGTGTCTCAAAGTGTCACTCTGTAGGGTCAAGACATTGTTTCTCCGACGTGCCACAAAGTTACTTTCATCTGGTTATAAACAGCAGACAATAAGTCCAAAGACAGACAAAATTTTAATGTCTAAAACTGTAACATTTTGGAAAATGAATAAAAACTTGCAAAAAGTCTCAATTCAAGTTACCACATATCAAAACTGGTCAGAAGTTAGGGTAGTGCTCGACATTTTTGTTATATAAAGACTGAGACATTGAGACGCTTAACTAATTCACAAGAAACATTTCAATGAGAAGTAAACGCAATAAAATCTTCACTTAACAAAGAGAAACAAAGATACACTATGTCAGACAAGTCCAAATTTTACAAAGAGAAACAAAGATACGCTATGTCAGACAAGTCCAAATATTCACTTAACAAAGATACAATAGGTTAGACTAGTCCAAATTCAACAATTCTTCCAAGACGAGGGAGGTAGAAAAACCTGTCAAAGAAATTCACTCGCTAGCTTGGACAAAGAAATACCTACAGTTTGTTCGAGTGTAGCACAAAGGCAAGGCGACAGACGGATCTAAACGTCATTACACTGGCTTGATGTGAAGAAGTCAGGGAAATGTTGTCTTGTATTATTAATGCGAGAGAGAAAGAGAGAGAGATAAATACTGTCGAAAGTAAGAGAGTATCCTTGTTATTACTTCATTTGCGTAGAACAAACAAAGAATGAACAGAGACACACCTGAATCCAAGAATGCGCTACAACAGTCACTATCTTTCTTTCTGCCACATGCCCAGCAAAATAACTTTTATAGCCCCCGGCCACATCCTTAATATCAGGTACACGAGGAGAGATATGTCCAGATATGCTGACCAAAGTATCCAGGGGA